GTGACAAGGCTTTCTCTTTATGGAAGTTAGAAACGCTTAAAAGAATTGCATTTGGGGGTGGGAAGGGAAAGAATAGTGCATATTTTATTAGTATATTAAAAATAATTACTGTAAATCTAGATCGTCAAGACTAGGATTTTTGTTGGCTCTGGAGTAATTTAAGGAGGCCAGTCATGACCCAGGACATTTCAAGTGCTTGCTTTGTCCTTCAGGCACTCATGTCTCTCTCTGCTTTATAGAAGTAACTACAGAAGGCTCAGTGGAGATGAAGCTAGATAGAGGAAGATGATCTAGAGTCAAAGGATCTGGCCCTGGGTCCCATTTTTACAGCTGACACATGAACAGTCTTAAGAAAGGCTATTTAACCTGCTTGGAAAGCAGTTCCCTGCTCTGAAAAAATGGAAAGTCTAATATTTAAGATCATACTATTATGGGAATTAACTGTAGTAATTGCTGTGAATGCCCTGTAAATTATGAAAATTTCTGCAAATGTTAGCTACAATGAAGGAAACATAGGTAGCTCCCCACTTTTCCTGTGCACTAGTATAGGTGTTTCTAGTCTAAACAATACATTGTGAAATGAAGGACTCATTAGGTCATATGACTGCCCTATGCCCCAGGGATGTCCTATGTATTGGCAGCCAACAGAAAACAGTCTGTCTCTTCCTTCCTTCCTTCCTTCCTTCCTTCCTTCCTTCCTCCCTCCCTCCCTCCCTCCCTCCCTCCCTCCCTCCCTCTCTCTCTCCTCTCTCTCTCTCTCCTCTCTCTCTCTCTCATCTCTCTCTCTCTCTCTCTCATAGTGCACACTTTGCTTCACTCACTCAGCTTGGACTTTGCTGCCCAGATTGTCTTTGAACTGTGATCCTCCTGGTCTCAGCCTGTGGAGTAGTAGGATTATAGGTGTGAGCCACTAAAGCCTGGCTTAGAAATCATTTCTTAACAAAGAATTCTTCTTTTTAGTGTTTGAAAGCTGATGCTGAAGTTGCTATTAGAAATACAATTAAGTACTATGGCTTAAATGTTCATTTCAGAAGCTAATTCTAGACATGGAAATCCAACCACACACACACACACACACACACACACACACACACACACACACACACACGTGCACACTATTAGGTCTATATTTCCCCTCTCTTCCTTTCTTTTTTTTCTCTTTTTTCTACCCATTCTTCCCTTCCTCCTTCATTTCTTTATTCCTGGTTTCTGTATTCTTTCCAATCATCTTTTCTACCCTCCTCTTTTCTTCTCCATGGTTCCACGGCTTGCTTTTTTCCAACAAGAATTTAGAAATAATCACATCAAAAAATGACACATGAATCTTTGAATAGTGACCTGTTTTACTTCTCTCTCTGCTGCAGCCTAAAATGCTTGTAAAGCCCCTCCATTTGCTGCAGAGATAAACTCTAGTAGGTAAATGTACCTAACTGTATGTTATTTACCAATTAGCTCCCAGAACAGACTGTAAAGTTAAGGCATAATCTACTGTGCCAGCTACTTGATTACTGAAGAATACTCCCTAGGCATTCCATTGCCTATGAGTGATATTTTTTTCTATTATGTGATGGGAATTATTGACTCACTGGGCTAGAATGCTCGTAGAGTCCACATAAAGGCCCTATTTCCATAGTGGATTGAAAGACCACCACACTTTGGTTTCCTGCATATTCACAGTTTGCAGATTATTGATCTGATAATGTATCAACTCAGCATCCTTTGGGTATCTTTAGCTTCTTGTGTGTGCATGCCTCCGTCAAGAGCTCCCCAAACTAGCATCTGCACAGCAGCTGCTATGGTCTCAACTGCTCAAATTATTTTTGTATTTAAAATGTAATATTTCAGCTTTCCTTGAAACATACAAAGTCAGGGAAAGTAATATCCCCTAGGAACTAAGTGAATTACCATAGATGCCCAATTATAAATAAGAAAAAAGCTTATAAAATATAATCACAGAATTTCCAAACCAGAATGGAATACAATAAAATTATTTTGCAGGTTATTGAACATTAAAGATAACCTGGGTGGATTAAAGTCAAGACTCCTTTTAAAATCAAGTACACATGGTGTATGTGTATATGTGTGTATGTGTATGTGTGTGTGTGTGTATTACTGATTTTCCTGAATCAACATTGTTAGCACTTATTTAATCAAATACACTCACATCATAAGAAAATAAGAAAAGAGTCCAGAAATAAAAAGGCACCTTGTTCATCCCCAATGGCTGACACAGAATATATGGTGGATATATTGAAGGTGGATGAGAATTTGCCTCTTATCTACTGGAACAATCATTTCTAGCTGTAAAGAGTGATTCTGTTTTGAACGGCCAGTATCTCACCTATACAGATGCTACAAGCATTTTGCTTCTCTATTTCTATGTCCCCCTCAGCTTCTGCAGATCATCTTGCCAATGCCTGCTCTAATGGTGACCTTTCTCTTTAACACTGCCCTCCAAGTGGGACTAGTGATCTCAACCATTAATCCCTCTTACCTTGCTCATGCTTCAGAATTTCCCCTTCTTAACCTATACTCTGTCCTCTTGCACTGTATGGAGAGACCTGCAGCAGATTCCTTTACAGAAATCACCAGGATCTGTACATATGCAGTGCTCACTCGATACTTACTGAGAAGTGTGAGTATATTTTCCAGGATTGATCCAGCCAAGTGCCTACCCTGTAGGGCCTTGCTCCCTGAAGCACTCCATTTTCCAAAGGATCTTTACATGTTTATATGTGAAAGATTGCAAAGATTTCTAAATCTATCAGATTGGTTCTGTACTGATGAGATGTTAGCCTGGATGCAAGCTGTGAAGTCTTGAGTGGTATATCTTTGAATTGCACCTACTCAATCTATTTTTCCATCAAGAGCTCATAAGCACCACAACAGCAATGACCTTTTCCCTACTTCTGTGTTTAACCCCCAACGGTCCTCATTATATTGCTCTGTTCAACAAATGTGGATGTCCAGCTCTTTCTGCCCCTTCCATCCCCAGATAATTGAGAGTTGACTCTAATAAAATGTTTTGCAACTTACAGCATGAAGTCATTATAGATCCTCTGTCAGGTAATTGATAAAAGAACAGTCTAGCCTGTCCTTTGCATTCACTGGCTCAAAGTTCATGCAACCCATACTTGTACAAATCATACCTAAATCACCTTTGGCCTGCTAATGTGAGGATATCATCCATCAGTGGATGAGTGGTAATGCTGATCTCTGGCTTTCTAGGCTGTCTGGCAGCAGGTCCTGCTTGGGGGAGTTTCATGGCCTCCACTGCTCTTAAGGATGCTGGGATGCAGGTGGAAAACTTTTCAACACAGACTAGCTCCCAGCTCAGCATGAAGTGGAACCTAGTTCTGACCATAGACAGGACTACAAATGTGCCTCAATTCTTACCAGTCTTTTGTACAAAGCTCAGGAACTTGCTACCCAAGGCAGGTAGCTTCTCACTCAGCCCAGTCTTTGCCAACCCAATTCTACTTGGCTTCCTGACCTTATCTCTTTGTGCAAAATTAGTAGTATAAAAGGCAGAGAGTGATTTCTGGTAAGGCCGGGTAAGTACTTTCCCTAGAAAACATTCATTTTTCAACATGAAGTAGGTTTAAAATTTGGACGCTGCTTTATTTATAAAAATGCATAGATTGAATTTGACTCAGTGATATAAAAATCATGGCTTACATGTCCAAATAAAATTTCCCTTGACATCAGCCAGTTAACCTGAATATAAGGCAATGATGTGTTAACAATCCTTTATTGCTGATGCTACTTAGCATTCAACTTTGTAGCTATAATAAATTTATAATATCTGCTTTACTCGTGAGAATGTTGTTCATAGGACAAAATAAAAATACACCTGCTTTTAAGGCCATAGTTGTACCAAATTTAAACACAGCACCATATCATGTTCTCAGTGGTCATCAAGCCTCAACTCTCAATTAAATCAATCAGATGTTTCTACTCTCTGCAGCAAACCATACACAGCCGCTCAAAAATCACACTATGGTGAAAGGGAAGCAAACAATCAGGCAGAATAGAAAATTTCTCTTTAAAAGCCTGAGCAATGGGAATAGTTTTTAAGGAACTTTCTAGTGCACAAAGGTAGCTATAACTATAATCTCTTGTTCTACTGAGAGCAGCCTTGAAAAGTTGATCTTTAAGTATCCCAAATGAACTCATTTTTAACTCTTTGGAGATTTCACTGACACTCTGGAATAATGCACAAATAATTAGGTGATAGCAAGTCCATTGTTGGAGTATTATTGAACATACAAAAATTATCACATATTCTAAGCATGGACAAACTTCAAATGCTAACACATATTCTCAACTTTCACAAGAAGAAATCTGAATTACTGTTGGTCATTTTTGGAGGTTTGAGAAACTAACTTCAGTCATGACAATAAATACTCGATGCTGTGGCACCTCCACTGGTGGGAGTTTTCATACTACATAGTGTTTTACATACTCATTCTCTCAGGTAAAAATACTCTGGACAAAACTATGTAATTTCTCAAGCTGATACAATAAGGTTGAGTAATTAGATAATTTCCTTGTACATGGCTCCTTGTTATGATAAACTTTTAAACATTATAAAATAAATTAATGTAGAAATGAGGGACAGAGGGTATTCGAGAGCAAACAAATTGAAAGATGCTGTATGTGAAGTAACAGCTACAGCATTGCACACCACCAAAAGTAGTATTTCATTTTCAAAAAAAGTGCACATTCTCTATATTGTTACACACCACCAAAAGTAGTATTTCATTTTCAAAAAAAGTGCACATTCTCTATATTGTTAAATAACAAGAACTTGAAACATTTTAATAAAAGTAAAATTATTATATATACACCACACATATAACACAAATGTATTTTTTATTGTAGTGACTGGAGAGAAAAAGAAAAAGACTCGGAAGCCAATCATTTCTCCCATGAGCAAGTAGGAAAAGTTTCCTAACTGTTAGCAAGAAAGGACAGAGTCAGAAAGAGCTGTGTCTTACCTGCCAGCTCTTCCTGAGATTTGGAATAATGACTTTGAGGAGAGTTGCCAATACTACCACGGAGAGCACACTGCATATGAATTTGGAGTTCTTCTCAGGCAGTCAATGCAAAGACCATGGTGAGCTTGGAAGAGGCTTGAATAACCAGAGGTCTGCTATCCTCACTTACTGAGTCTTTCCTGGCTCTTTCTGTTCAGGTTCCTCAGCACTACAGTGCATCTGCCATTCTAGATGACTTGCTTTTGAAGGGTGAATCTCATTAGCATCCTGCTCTCCCTCAATGGTCAAATGATATATGAGGAAGCACCAGGTTGCTTTCTTATTGGAGAATTTGCTTCTTATTAAATAGCCGGACAACCCATCTCAGGGGCCTCAGACAGAACTATTGGAAGATCATTCTTCCTGTGACTATCTCGTTCTGCTTGATCTCCCCTCTGCCACATTGTTTCCTCCTTTTTTCCCCCTCCCTTTCTCTCTTTACACATTACTGAGAGGTTAAATTTTTACAAATCTTATATTCATAAGACATTTTTGTCATCAAGCTGATAGAAGATAAGGAGAGCTCATACACCTGGCCTTCGCAGATGGAAAACTCCATTGGTTGTCTCAAGCGTTCAGTGCATGAGCACAGTTTATCACCAAATTCACGTAGGAAAGACAATGAAAGAAAAGGCCATAATCAATCCTTCCCAGAAGATCTAGTCTATTCTCTTTGAGAGTGGGTTAGACAAGTCAAGTTAGTTATAGATTATAATTATTTCCAAACTGAAGCAACTTAAAATTAGGAAGCTGGAGCCCCAGCCCCTCTACCGCTTTGTTATCATTATCTCTTACACACACACACACACACACACACACACACACACACACACACACACACACACACACACACACACACAGCATCCTTTACTTTCCAGCATTGTGTAGAACGACTTGCACATATTTGCCTTAAGCACAGGGTAGAAACTAAGACTTATTGTATTCACTGTTTCCTTTGAACATCACATAATTGGTCCCTAGATTTCTGTGAAATCTTAGATTGTATTCTAAAAACCTTGCCTTTGCTATGACTTTATCCTAAGGATCAACCCCCTTTAAGCTTCAATATCTATTCCTTGCCTTTGGAAATGGCATAGTTTTTCCAAAGGCTCAGCATGCTGTCCTTTGGGCTTTTGCTATATCTATAGCAACTACTCTGTTGTGGAACCTTACAAATAAAACTAAGCTTTGGAGTCTGGTCACATGTAAGATATATTGCAACAATAAACAGTTTAGATTCTTTGTTTAAACCAGTAGCTGACTTATTAATAGCTACTGAGGTGGTGCCCTTGGTTTTAGTAAAAAGAAGTCTATTTCTTGAAATTTATTATATTCAGAACTTTCCAATTGATGGTTAAAAGCCTACCTTTAGAAGACATGTGTGGTTTCAACTTGCAATGAAAGGTGGCAATCATTGTTACCTTTGTTAAATTTCCTAATTCACCTCCCCCCCAGGAATTACATTTCTTTATTTTAAAAGTCTCTTCTTTCAAAGAAATCAAAATGTCTTTGTCATGCCTCTCATCATTTTTCAACATCCCTGTGAGATTGACAGAGAAAAATATCATATGTTTAATAAGCAAGATAAATAAAAAAAATAATGTCTACTAATGTTGAATTCAATACATTATCTTTTGGTCAATAATCCACTTACTAAAAGGAATCTTGGCTGTTTGGAGAAAGGACACATTTGGAGTCTAGCCAATAGCCAAAGTCAGAATAATTTAAGCAGCCAAATAAATTAAATATTAAAATAAAATGAATATCTATGGGTCCACACTTATATAAGAAAATAATCAAATCAACAAATGGGGAGAATAGACAAATTTCCCATTCAGAAAAAATCTGAATTATGTCTATAGATTCTCTGCCCTTAAGAAGATGAAACACAACTCCCTAGTCTATAAATGGACTGTTTATGATGGCTTTCTTCAAACGGGCGTTGTACAAGGCATAGGCAGGGAAAAGTGAGGGTCTATCCACTGGAGAAACTCAGCAAAGTTTCCTTGATGGTGGACACATCAACAATGGTGTCCTCATTTTGTACCACTGATCTAAAGAATGAAAGTTTGTGCTAAGTGCTGGTGGCTCACGCCTATAATCCTAGCTACTCAGGAGGCTGAGATCTGAGGTTTTCAGTTCAAAATTATCTCCAGCAGGAACATCAGTGATACTCTTATCTCCAATTAACCACCAAAAAAACAGAAGTGGTGCTGTGGCTCTAGTAGTAGAGTGCTAACCTTGAACTGAAAAGCTCAGCAACAAGGCCCAGGCCCAGAGTTCAAGCCCCACAACTGAAAAAAAAAAAAAAAAGAATGATAGTTTACCTCTGTGATCTTCTTTTAAAATCTATAGTCCTATACTCAAATCAAGATTAAAACACCAGACAAATCTACAGATACCTAACTTGTACTCTTCAAAGTTGTTGAACTCAACAATAAATAGTAAGGCTCAGAAGCTAAAAGATTGTGTTTCTGGATCTCTATTAAAGTCGTTATATCGAAAAACGAACTTTACAACTTTGGCTTGGGCAGGGGGGGTGGGTTGGGGAGTGGGAGGGGAGATGGGAAGGAATGAGAAGGGGAAACAAAGGAGGAGGCAACAATGCTAGATAAGAAATGTACTCATTACCTTGCTCATGTAATTGTAATCCCTCTGTGCAGTATTTTCACAATAAAAAAATTTTTTAAAAAAATTTTTGGCCTGTGCCAAGGACACCTAGGGTTTATCGTATTCCATTCTGTAATGTTTTCAGAGTGTCTGCTTTGACTCTGAGGTCTTTGATCAATTTGGAGTTGAGTCTGGTGCAGGGTGATACATAATGTCTAGCTTTAGTTTTTTACAGGTGTTTAACAAATTTTGCCAGCACCATTTACTGAAGAGGATGTCTTTCTTCCATTCTATTCTTTAGCTCCCTTATTGAAGATTAGGTGGATATAGGTCTGTGTTCATTTCTGGGTTTTTGATGCTATTCCATTGGTCCTGAGGTCTGTTCTTGTGACAGTACCAATCTGTTTTGATTACAGTGGCTTTGTAGTAGAGTTTGAAATTTGGTATTGATATTCCTCCAACACTGTTCTTTCTGTTAAGGATCATTTTTGCTATTCGGCATCTTTTCTTGTTCCATATGAATTTTTGGATTGCCTCTTCTATTTCCTTGAAGAATGAGGTTGGAATATTGATAGGTATTGCACTGAATTTGTAGATAGCCTTGGGAAGTATTGCCATATTCATGATGTTTATCCTTCCAATCCAGGAGCATATGTGGTTTTTCCACTTTCTAAGTTCTAAGATAGCATAGGATTTTTTTGTTGCTTTGTATGTTCCTCCCCCATGGTATAACCCCTGTTTTTACTGTATTTGATGTCAGTATAATTTGGGGAGGTGAAGAGAAAAAACAAAATGTTTAAATAGAGACCCAGGTTGACTCATTGAGATGTACAAGACACTATGTTGAAAAACAAACTTTACAGTTTAGGTGGAGGAAGTGGGGGGGGGGGGGGGTAAGTGTAGTTGTAGAGGTGAGGAGGGAAGGGATGGTAGGGGAAAAACAAGGAGGAGGCAACAATGCTTAATAAGAAATGTACTCATTACCTTGCTCATGTAACTGTAACCCCTCTGCCCAGTATTATATATATATATATATATATATATATATATATATATATATATATATATATATATATATGAAGCTAAAAGAGTCAAGAGGAGCCCAAGGAGACATGAGGTAATGATTCAATGTAATACAATGTCCTGGATGAGATGGAATACTAAAGGAGAAAATGGTAGAAGCTACGGATATCTGAACCTGAGCAGAATAACATTTTAATATTGATTGGAATAGAGGCACAGAGTGATTAAGATGTTAAGAACAGGGAAAAATTGGTATTGATTGAGAAATAATGTTTAATATTTTATGTAAACTTAAACTTCTTATAAAATATAAAGGTTTTATTAAGAAAATAAAATCTATAAAATACATCCCAGACAAAATTTAAATGCAAAAGACTGTATGGCAAATTAAAAAAGTAAAATTTGTTTCTTATATTTCTGAGTTTATCCTAATATATAACCTTCCATCTAAAAGTTCTCTTCTATCTATCTGTCTATCTACCTATCTATTATAGTACTGAAACTTGAACTCAAGGCCTTATACATAGAACTAAATTCTCTACCACGGAGCTACAACCTCACTCCTTTTATTTAGCGCAAAAAGTGACTTTACTAGCAGAAATGGCATATGAACAATGTGAACTTCACAGTAGAAAAACATAGGACATAGTTTCTTAGCAATAAAAAATAGATATTTATATCACTCACCACATCAGAATATTAAAATGGTCATAACAGTGAGAACTAAATATTAACTTCAAAATGCATTCACATTTATTTGTGATATCAATTATTAGACTGATGTACTGAAACAGGAAAAGCAGCTACCACTTTCTCCATTTTGAACATCAAATCTTGAGGTAAAGTGACATAGGTAAAATTTGTTGGAGGTGGAGAACATCTTTGAAATCTGCGTATTGGAAAGAATTAGACTGTGGCTTGGGTAAGCTCTTTACAGTTCTCTGGAATGTCATTTTCCTGCAGGAAAAATGAGTTTTCCTTTACAGATGAACTTTATGTACAGTACTCTTCCAACACTGAATGCAGAGAATACAGTAAATTTATTTATATCTTAATTAAAATTCTGTACTAAATATTAAGAACAAAACAAGAATAGTAAGAGAAAGTAACTCTATGAGCATGGGCTGAGACTAGTTCCTGTAGTCTCCAAGGAGGTGAGACCATTTATGAACAAATGGTCCATTTGGGAGTGTCAAATGGGAGCATAATGTGCTTCAGTCATGACTTAGCTTGTACTTTATATAGATTGGGACGTCCTCTTTTGTCTGCTCAAAGCACCAAAGTCAAGATTCTCAATAGAGACTATTTTCCAGGCAATGGGAATTAGGTATAAGTAATGAGAATAGAGTTGCCACTTTTCTGAGAAAGGAAGACTTCAGCCCACTTGCTAATGAAAGGCCTTCTCTACATCCAGAGAGACAGCAGACATGGATGAAGTGATTGTAAGAAAGACTTTCAGAAGTGAACAGGAGAAAATGCCCCAAGAAGTGAATAAATTAAAGAGCTGGAAAAATTGTCATTAAAAGAAATAGAAA